AACTGGTTAGCAGAACTTGTTATGCTAAATTTTCACGACCGATTTTATATGGTGTGCGTTACACATTGCAAAGTGACTCATCAATTACGTAATGGAAAAATACTACATAATTTCAACAATATGAAATTTTTAGAAAATTATATGAAAATGGGTAACTGTTGACTGAAGATAGTCATTTCAACTCAAAAATACTACTACTAATATTAATAATATATTTGTTAGGAATCTCGGTCTGCAGACCTTAGGTTACTATACAGGAGAGCACAATATTCAAGTTTGGGGCGGATACATGTTCTATATATAGCTAATCTTGCTTCTTGGGTGTAGAAGTTACGCAGCACAAAGCCAATAAGTCGTTTACAGTCGGATACAACCTTATTTGCATGATCGGAGAAGGTTAGATCTAAGTATGTTATCCCGAGATCTGTGACAGTGTTCAGTTTCGAGAGGAGCTTACCGTACATATATAGGCACATTCTCGGTTTCCAGCGTCCCAGGTGGGCTATACCGCACTTGTCTGGGTTGAAAGTCAGTTGCCACTTTTCGCTCCAATCGCCTAGATTGTTTAAGTCATGTTGGATTTTGCTTTCGACGCTCATATCATCGTACCCATAATCATATACTATCTTGAGATCATCTGCAAAGAGGTATGGCTTGCCATACTTGATCACAGAGACTATGTCATTTATAAATAGGAGGAATAGAATAGGGCCAAGAACGCTACCCTGTATTACACCACTAGTTATCGGCTTTGATGGAGACAGCTGGTGGTTGATTTTGACTAATTGCTCTCTTTCTGTGAGAAAAGAATTTATCCATTTGAGAAGTTTCCCGGTTATTCCGTAGGATTGGAGTTTTGTTATGAGTCTGATATGTGGGACTTTATCAAAGGCCCTGCTAGCGTCGAGAAATAATGTTGTTACCGAATGCCCATTATCAATGCATTGTGTAATGTAGTCAAAATAATCTAAGTGGCAAGTAATGCATGACCTTCTACTTAAGAAACCGTATTGGGATGGGGATAGTAGGTCATTTGACAGCAAGTACTGAATGATTTGAGTCTTTACTATCTTTTCCATTACACGTGAAACTACAGACGTGATGTTGATGGGGCGGTAGTTGTTGATATCAGCTGTAAGCCCGCATTTATGGATAGGTACAATATAAGACTTCTTCCAGCAGGTAGGGTATGTCCCATCGCTTAGTGAAATTGAGTATAACTTGAGCAGGAGTAAATTCATGTCACTATCACCGTTTTTCAGCAGAATGGAAGATATACCATCTGGACCAATAGTGTTACTAAGCTTAAGATTTGCGACAGCTTTATCAATCTCGTGTGTGGTGAAAAGTATGTCACTAAAACATTCGTCTGTTTTACATGGGAAATCCACGACCTCATCGTTCTCTAAGGTGTATAATCTGGCGAAGTGCTTGCTAAAAAGTTTGATTTTTTTGTTTTTGATTTACAGCTTGATTCCACACCGTATTTTCGGTACAAGTATGGAATTTTCAGCATGGATATTGGTAGCCCGAATTCAGGCCGATCATAGATATCGGGTGTGCGCTGGCAGGGGATCGAACCTCGGACCATGTGCATGGTCGGCTAGAGTCCTAACCACTGTGCCACCGACGCACACATATCACATATCACCTCAGGATTTTCGTAAGCAATCCCGTCTAAGTATATTATTTTCGGATAGGCTGTTTTGGAGTTCATCAACCTACTTTTGAAAAGTTTGGATATTTCTCCTGAGTTATGCCGTGCCTGAATGGCTCGCATTTCTTTGTTTCTGAGGCCTATACTTCTCAACTCCTCAATTCTATTGAGAAGGGACTTAATAGCAATTAGTGATGACAAGTCATGATATCTGTAGTATTTTATTGAGTGCTTTCGTAGACTTCTCCTAAACGATGTCGGAATATAATTGCTTTGGGGAATCTGAAGCTAAGAATCTTCTCAGGTGCAATGACGTCATGAATTGAGTTAATATTCTGATAAAAGCTGTTAAGAATTGCCTCTAAGGTCTCGTTCGAAAAGTACGAGTCCCAATTAGAACATCTAATTAGGTGCTGGTACAATTCCCAGTCAGCATGTGTGTACAATCTCATAGGTGTCTGGCCAGCTTCATCTCCGCGCTTTGTTTCAGGAAAGATGTCAAAAGAACACACTACTATTTTATGGTCGCTACCTGGAAATTCATGTCCCACATGTACTGTAGATGGTTTTATGTTGTTCGTGAAAATAAGGTCTATGATATTTGCGGATCTAGTGGGTGAATTTATGTGTTGTGTCCACCCTCCTGTGACGATGGAATTCAGGAGTGAAGACCATGATACTTCTGGCATGTTGAAATCATCTCCGATAATTTTATAACTGTGGGGAAGATTGGCTGTAACATTAAAAATATTGCTGAGCATATTATCATATTCCCTGTTGGATGAAGGGGGTCGGTACATACAACCCACAAGTAAAGGTTTACTTCTGACAACTTTTATTTCAACTCAGATCGAGTCATTGAGTTGTGACAGAATCGGGTTACTGAACTGGGTTGCACATAAGGATTGTTCACAGTAAATTAGTGTTCCACCCCCACGACCTCTCTGTCTGTCCCCTCGGAAAAGGTTGTATTTATCAATCCTTAGGCTATCATTGGAGATATCACTTGTGCACCAGGCCTCAGTGATCATAATCAATGACGGTCTGCATATAGAAGCTAATGTACTTAGTGTTAAGTGTTTGCTTAGAACTGATCTAGTATTTACTAGGATAATAGATAAACACTGGTTATGTGGTTTCAGTGAGTGGACAACATCTTGATAAAATAATCCATGAGTATCCTCTATATGCATGTTATTAGACTCATTTGGTGTCGACACTGTGTCAGCTATCTCCCAGGAAATATGCCTTGCCCTAGCTGCAGACTGTTCGCTATGCCGGCAAGGAATTGATCTGATATCATGCGTGCTATATGCATGATTCCAGGTGTTTCTGTTAACTGGCGCTGGTGAAAATCCTGCCCGAAAGTATAACCGATATGAGTATTCGGTAATTTGTTGCTAGTATAAGAATGAAGCGTTTGTACATGTTCCGGGTAGTCATCAGACCATAGCAAGTTTTGTGCAGAAATTGGTACATGCTCCCAACTAGATGCATAGGATGTATGAGTGGGTTCTGTTGGCTTGCCAAATGTAGTCTGTGGCCGATGTTTGAAGGATTTTCTATAACTTTCAGTTGATAGAACATTGGAAGGGGGTTGGCTAACAATGGGTTTACGTAATGGATGAGCAGAATAATACCTACTACCTTGCTGTGCTGTTTGTCTAGAATTAGTTGTAGGATATAACTGACTTTCCACTTGACACCAATTAGGCCTACCTCTAGGAGCTAGGTCTACCATATTTGACTTTCTCTTAGGATGATGGCTCATAGGTGCTTTCGTCTCTATCATATCAAAGGGCTTTCTTACTCCGGGTTCAGCATTTAATTTATTTACTTATTTTTCCCTTTTCTTATGATCAACTGGTTGTTGATGGCTAACAGGGCAACCAGCACATGCTATGTAGCGATTCTGTTGCTTGGACACCTCATGCGCTTTAGTTTTCTTAATGGAAATGGGACGTTTGTCATAACGCCTAGAAAACTTGCTAACTTGGGTAGCTACGTTCGACTGGTGCTTCACAGTGGATGGATTGTCAGACTGAGGAGTAACTGACTTAAGAGGGGATGGGTGGAACACCAGTGGGATGGGTTTTAATGGTTTCGGGCTCTTGACGTTTGTGTCAGTGTGAAAACGATGTATTTCAACATTATGTTCCGTTGACTCATCTATGTCCACCATTTCAGTGTCAGCATCAGTGTCGTTATATAATACTTGGCTAATATTAGTCTGTGCTTGAGAAAATGTCTGATGCATGCGGTCATCAGGTTTTTCAGTAGACGGAATAACGCATGGAACATCACCTACAGTTGTCCTATTAGAGTTATCAGTATTCAGTGTTCCTGATTATTATTAAACTGCAGGGGAGACCGGAGGTGAATCGCGGACCCTATTGAATTGCTAACATGATGGTTTCACATCCACTGAAGGAGAATTTTTGTTAGATTTACATGGAAAATCGCATGTGCCGAATTAAAACTTTCGCCTGGTGAGTTTGCAATGGTGTTTTCTTTTCTCAACTCCCTAAGAGGCGCATGGCTCAAAAGTATCGAGCAGAGGATAGGGGATGGTTTCATTCCCTAACAGTAGTTGTGTTTTCGGACGAAATTCCAGTAAAGGGGGTGCAGATTGTTTCAGATTCCCAAGAATGAAGATTCGATTTATGTTGCAATTCTTGTGTTGAAATTTATATCATATACATAATTTCGTGGATTTAATTCTTTAGTTTGCTGCTGATAAGCATTCAATTTTCAAACTCACTAGATAAGGGATATCTGCGGTTTCGGTCGGGCCAGACAACAGAGGAGTACCGAAAAGTTGCCGGGAAGTATAGATATACACTGTATATGCAATGGAAAGTGTCATACGCGTCCATTAAGAATCATTCTGTACTTACTGCTCGAATAGAATATAATGTATGTTAATATCAAAATTTTATCCATCTATGGAAAAAATCCCTGAATTAGGGTCTAAGACGGTCAAAAAGTTGTTTATCGTATTGCAGGGTTTTCTAGGCGCCCACTTCAGTTTCTTGGCTTACCGCGTGTTTCGCAGTTTCTGTAGAGTCGTGGGCAATGTTATTACCTATCGCAACTCGGAATAGCATATTTGAGAAGATCATTCAGGATGGCGTGTTGACAGCAAGAAATGATACTCGTCCGTGTTATAATCATCCCACAATCAATGTCCGTAACCTCTACGTAATCAAAACAATGCGATCACTAAAATCTCGTGGTTACGTTCGCGAGCAATATGCTTGGAGAACATATTACTGGTTCCTCACAACTGATGGAATTAACTACCTACGTGAGGTAAGGTTACATCTTTTATTTTATTGCTTAGGTTTTGCACCTTCCATCTGACATCATTCCAGCGACGCTGAAAGCACCACCCAGGGATGTTCGCGCACCGGCTCCAGGTATGGATCAAGGAGGACAACGTGGTCCGTCTGATGGTCGTGTAGCATTCAGACGAGGTCCAGTCGCTTCTGGCATGAGTGGATTTGGTACCCCCGGAAAAGAAGCAGCGATAGGTGACAGCGAAGTTCAGTTCAGAGGAGGTTATGGTAGGGGTCGGCCCATGTAAACACTTGAATACATAAATGTCGGAAATAAACATGGAGTTTTAACACTTGTTAATGACGCCTCAGACGGTACAGGCATTAATTTTGGTGCTATGATTTGTTATTTGGTTAAAAGGTTGGTGTATATTTTGTGCTGCGTACGTCAAAAAGGTAATAATTAGTGAAGGTGAAGCTGTCTGAATTACTCTCCGTAACTTACTGTCTGTATGACTTAAATTGGTTACTCTGTGATAGCCTATCAAGGGGGAAGGGTTCAATTAGTTAGGAAACAAGTGTTACGTTCGAAGATGTCATGTATTGGATTCATTATATGAGAATCAGCTATGATGAACCCATATACCCTCCCATAGGCTTGACCAGAAGATTAAAGTGAAGAGTGAGGTAATCAGTCTCTAGTGTTACTTCTCGATTCTTGACGGTTGGTTTCTTAGCATCCCAAGTTTACTCCCACGTGTTCAGCTAGCTAGACATCTTCAGATTGAACTGTTGGTCTTCTTGTGAGCACTTTGGGAATAACATAGTCGGACGTCATAATTCAGCACTATATTAGATGTACTTGGTAAGAGCATGGTCGAGTAAACTGTTGTTAGTTTTGTGTAATATATATATATATATATATATATACCTAGCTTATGAATGTTTGAAGAAAATACTGGGTGTCATCTGGGACGTATTGGGAAGTCTTTTTTGTATCCAGCTACTAGGTATTTGTATTAACGTAGCATGCTTATTGGCTTCAGAGGGTTTCAAGACAGTCCCATGACGTCAACTATATACAGGTAGGATTCCCTGTGCGTTTGTATGCAGTATTTTGAGTAAGCAACTTAGTATGGTCTTTTGAATACATAAAAGTTAAATAGCTGTATTTGACGTGCAAGTTTCTATCAGGATACCTTCAGAGTGTTTCTGGGTTTGATGAGTAGGAAGGCATTTCCCGAATTATTGATCACTGGTACTGAAAAGGTCCAGTCAACCATATCTTATCTCAGTATTTCAATTATTTCCTTTCTAATAAGTGACTGTACCATTCATTATTAACTCCTTTCTCTTCTAGCCAGAAGTGTTGAGTTTCTCCAGGATCTTTGTGGAAATAAATCATGCATGTTGACGTGTTTGAAAGTTTGTTTACCAGGCCATGCTCAGGTCCAGTGGTTCAATTTCTATTAACTATCTAAGTCATACTGATTTCCTCTGAGACGTATAAATTTGTTTGCCGGGTTAGGCTTCGGGAAATTGTCTAGATATTACTCACTTGACACTCAAAGAAGGTTTCAGTTTGCTATACTTGGTCTATTTATACGTCGAAATGAAAACTGTGTTACATGAAGACGAATCTTTGAACGAGCAAAGTACCTTGTTTAGCCAAACCACTCATTTTTAGGACTGTGCTGGACTCGTCTGAAGTGTTCACAGCCAGTAAATGTCCACAACTAATAAGCCACTTGATTTATACTTGAATAGAAGTATGTACAATAGCATGCAATATTGCTCACAACGTCAATTAAGAGCCAATGTATTAGTCATTTGAGAGTCCTGATGCTATATTCGTAACGATTCATTATGGTTTACACATGGTGACTCATTACGACTAGGAAGTCTATTCTTTAGATTGATTAAAGGTGTCCCTATTTATCTCTCATACATGCATGGCCACACAATTAGTTGCGCCAGTGGACACTATTCCTGTGACCAGATGAATAGGTTTGTAGGGTGATTATGTCGTCATCTCTCATCAGTACCTGCTGATACTGTTTGCATTGAGAATCATAAAGAGGCAAAGATAGCCTCGCTTCGTGACTTCCTGTCTAAACTAACGTAGTGTTTTCGGGATATCGTGGACAATTCCAACAAGATTCATAGGTAATGTCAGTTATACAAAGATTAGTCTCAATACTGGAATAGTCGTTCGTAATCTAGAATATGTGCAGACACTAAGTGGTGAGTAGCTCTCAGAGATGGCTACTTCAAGGGAAACTTTCAGAGAAAAAGTGTGTTATTTTGATATTTTACTTGAACTAAGAGCGTGGTAAACTGACTGAAGGTAGGTTATATTTGAGATCATTGTGGAAGAAGTTAGAAACCGTAAGTCAGTGGTCCTAAACCAAACAGGATTTTCTTTGTCTGTATAGTAGGGGCTCTAGTTATTTTTGATTGCACACTAGTCAGTAACTAGTGTAATGCGTCTAGTCCTATCTTCGGTGCAGACTGAATTCTATCAGTCATGTTTGCAATGTGGCCATAGGGGCTTAGTTATACAAAAGGTTATGAAGTCTGAAAGAATTGGACAAAGCTGTGGAAGTGAGGCACCTTTCGATTCCGTTTTGGTTTATGGTAAGTTATTTCATGAGCTGATTTATCATTGTCCGAAAGCTGAAAATGTAACAAAAAGAGTTTGTCTTCTGACTTAGCTTTAGGTGTAAGATCAGTCGGTCAATGAGTATTATTAGGACTTCGAGAGTTTTCTTAAGTTAATATTTTCTATCTGTAGTGATAGGAATATGAATGCGTCACACGTAAACCTGGGACTTTTCGTTGTGCATTTAAGTTTAGACATGCTGTGAAACTACCAGGAGGTATTCATATCAAATGGATGTTTTACAATACCTTAAAGAACTAAAGGCCGTGTTGCACTCACTTCGTTTTTATACGACAGATATAAGATCCAAGTACCGTTTCTTGCTGGACTCCTCTCTGTCATTATTCAAGAAGAGAGTTTTTGATTTTGGAGTTGATTCTTACCGTTTCCAGTCAACTAGGAGATCTCTGGTCTATACGAGTAGTCTGCTAGTGGTTCCGAAACCTAGTCATACGGGTAATGTTGCAGAAAATAATTTGTCAAAGGTTTCACTGAAGTCTACAGACTACCGGTAATCAGCAGATTTCACCTGACTCTTGCCAAACTTGTTAAGCAGGTGGAACTTGTTCGAGATTAAGGCCAGCGATAATGACCTTAGTTTTCATTCCTATAAATCTAACTGTTGAACTAATGAAGCTCATTGACTCGTCATTGAATCGGTGTTTCTGAGAACCACCTCTACCAACAGGAGTGATGATTACACCCGATCAATTACGACGTGGTATAAGTTGGTTTAGGTAGTCCATGGAATAGAAAGTTGTAGTACTTATACTTACAAGTACCTGTTAAAACAACACTCGACTTAAACCAAGGTAACAAGAATTATAGTCCAAATTTTTAAAAGGTGTTAAGGACATCTGTGTTCATCCTCCATACATTTAGTTTGGTTGGAAAGTTGATCAGATGTACATCAGAACTGTGATTGAAGCTGATAATAGTTTGGTTACTTATTTTGAGGTGCTGTGAGGCATTGAAATTTAGATAAACTGTGATAGTGGTGCACACGAACTCTGCAGGTAGCTAATGGGATAGATCCTTTTTTGTGATTCATTTACTTTAGTTGTAAAATACTAGAGATCAAGGCACTACGTAAGAGATGGAAAGCTTTACTGTATTCTGCATGAAATTGATGATAAGTTTGTTGTTGATATTCAATTCGTGTCGTGTCATGCAAACTAAAGGGTTATCAAAAACAAAATGACACTGTAAGTGTCTGTTTATCGGGGTAACTGTTTAGACTGTAGGAAAATCCATGTGAGAAAGTCGAAAATAGGTAATGTTGTATACCCATTTCGAGAGCATTTCTGTCCCATTACAAAAGAAAACTGAGTGGTGTCTTAATCTTAAAGCTAGGATTTAAGATGTTACCTGAAGCGACAATCAAAGCTCTATTCTTTAGCATATGATGAATTCAGATCACACAGCTTTACCGAGGTCCTATAAAATAAGGCTGAATTGTACAAGAGGTGTTAAGTTTCAACACGTGTATGGCAGAGTCGCTAGCTACTCGTTAATACAACCCTGGACAGTGTCCAGGATGAGTTTTTTCAATCGCTTACTATACAATGTTCCTACACTCCTCCTATTTGCTTGCTTCTACTTTTACTGAGCAATTTACTATTTAACATGTTCCTTTGGACATTTCGCTAGTCAGTGTTTTTGGTTTCAAATTTTAAACTCTGGTAGGTAGTTTTTCCCTGTCTTTAGAAACCACCTCTAAGTGACTGTATCGACAATGTTACACCCTCTTTCACTGAATGCTAGCGTGGTATATGCTGTAGTAGTAGTAGTAGTAGTAGTAGATATAAATGCGATTCTATAACCTTTGAAAATAATTTGGGCGGTTAAATAATGTTTGAACACAGAAGTCTGCATGTTTCCGAATAGTCTAGTGATATACCGTATACCATCGACCAAGAATAAAAAGAATTACAACTATGAAATTATTTTATGCCTTATCTACATTAATCCCATCTGTAAGCAATCTTATGATCCTACATGCACTGTCATAAGAGATACTACTCCAGAATGACTGTTTCTGATCGAGTGTTAAAATTAATTTTCAAGTATTATTTTGTATGGATTAGATTGGTTTTAACTTTGATTACGAATTAACTTGAGTTAAAGAAACATTGAACAGCTGTTTCCTGCTAGTTTGGTACTCTTTGGCAGAACGCACCCACAGGAATCAAACCCAGGACCTTCATATTACGAGGCGATCCTGCTGACCATTCATCCACTGGGACGAAATCCAGTGGCCAGTCCATGAATTCTGACTTCTGTCACTTCGCGATACATGTCGCCACTGCCAAACAGTGTCACTGGCGAGTGTTCGTCCTCATACCCGACTTGGTGGACCCCACTGGTCACAATTTCTCAACAGAATTCTAGGCAACTTTGTCTCATAGTAAGTCACTAGTAGCTGTTAGTTGAAATAATTCATTTAGTTTTTGTTAATAATAGAATGGGGTGAGCTTGTAAGGAACATTTATCTTGTAACCAGCAGAAATACTATTTGATTTATTTATAATGAAATTTCAGACGTGATGTTAGCCTCCATGAAATATCTGACGACTGTAGCCAGTGTGGTTGTTACTTAGGATAGCCGTTAAAATTTATCATGGTAATGCTTAGTTGTTTTCGGCTCTAGGCATCCAGTATGGACCTCAACAAC